GAGGTGTAACTAAAGAGGTTAATATTAAGCCCCAGTTACTAAGTAAAACTTTCTACCCCTGAAAGATGTCGAAAGGATCCAAACAATGTTCTTTCAGTAACGGGTCGCCAGAAAAGGGGCGTGTTACCCAGGAGCTTTTCCCCACGAGTTCTGGGTGCACATCAGCGGTTACCTTAGCACCTCACCCTTCCCTGCTCTCATGGAGTTGTCGCGTTTCATCAGTTATCTGTTGGGGGTGCAAGATTCTTCAAAGTAGGAGCCGTGTTCCCTGGAGCCTACGTTTTTTAGAGGCTGACCACCTGGCACTATGCCTCCTGTCCTCTAGAGGGCGGCAAAACGCTGACTGAAGGAACAGCCCGCGAAAAATGCCACCAGGAGGGCTTTTCTTGTGACTCAGAAGCACGGATCTCTTCTTTTTACTAACAGCGACTGGGAAAGGCTCTCACACTATTTTATGGCACTCCAAGATTAATACAGACTTAAATAGTTTACAAGGTCAATAATTGCATGATGGTGCAAATTCGTATGGAGCCAGAGGACCCTGAAGAGCCAAAACAGCCCCGAGAAGAACAAAGCTGGGGGCATCACATTTCCTTATTTCAAACTATATTGCAAAGCTAAATAATCAAAACAGTTTGGTACTTGTCTAAAGACACATCTGTGGAGAATAGAGAGCCCAGAACTAAATGCATATATCCAAGCACTTTTCAACCAGGGCCCAAGAATCCAGAATGGAGGAAAGATGTCTCTTTGATGAATGGGGACGGGATAATTCAATATCCACATTCAAAAACATGAAACTGGGCCCCATCTTACACCATGCACAAAATCAATTCAAAATGGGTTTACGATTTCAATGTGGGCCCCTCAACTGTAAAACTCCTAGAAGGATACATTGGACAAAAGCTTCATGTCATTGGTCCTGGCGAAAATTCCATGGATATGAGGCCACAAGTGTAGCCAACAAAGCAAACATAGACAAGTGGGAATCTACCAAAACCGAAAAGCTTCTGCACAGCCAGTTACACCATCAACAGAGTTCAAGGGCAACTTGCAGAATGGGAGAAAATATTTGCAAGCCATGTATCTGATAAGGGGTTCGTTTCTATTGAGGAAATGCAACTCAATAGCCAAGAAAAAAAAGAGTAATAATCCACTGGAAGAAAGAGAAATGACCTGAATAGACTTTTCTCCAAAGAAGACATCCAAATGGCCAGAAGGTATATGAAAAGGCGCTTCATGTCACCAATCAACAGGGTAACGCAAATGAAAACCGCAGTGAGATGTAGCTTCATGGCTAAGGATGGCTATGATCAAAACACAACCACAAATGACAGCAAGTGCTGGTGAGGACGTGCAGAACTGGGAACATACACTGTGGTGGGAATGCAAAAACGATACAGCTGCGGTGGCCAACGGCGTGGAGATTCCTCAAACAATTAAAAGCAGAACTAGCATATGATCCGGCAATCCCACTTCTGGGTATCTGTCCAAAAGAATTGAAACGAGGATCTCGAAGAGATGTGAGCACTATTAAAAATAGCCAAACCATGGAAACAACCTAAATGTTCATCAGCAAGATGGATGGATAAAGTTAATATGCTTTCTGTAGAAAGTGTATTAGAAAGCGTATATTAGAAGGTTATTCAGCCTTTAAAAAGAAGTTCTGCAATATGCGACAACATGCATGACCTTGAGGACATTATGCTAAGTGGCATAAGCCAGTCACAGGAGAAAATACTGCATAATTCCACTTATGTGAGATACCTAAAATAGTCAAACTCATAGCAGCAGAGAATGCTATGAATGGTGGTTTTCAGGAGGGATGGAGAAATGGGGAGCTGCTAACTAACAGATACAAAGTCTCACAGAGGCAAGATGAGTTCAAGTATGTTAAGTCCCCGCCAGGTGGCTCAGTTGGTTGGAGCATGACCTGTGCACCAAAAAGTTGCTGGTTTGATTCCTGGTCATGGCACATACCTAGATTTCAGGTTCGGTCCCCTATCAGAGCATGTATGGGAGGCAACTGATCGATGTCTCGCACATCGATGTTTCTCTCTCCCTCTCTCTTTCTCCCCCTTTCTCTCTCAAATCAATAAACATATCCATTTTTGGGGTGAGGATTTGGAAAAAAAAAAAAGGACATTAAGAGGATAGCTCTCACATTCATTGCTTTTAGCACACTGAACAGAAATTTAAAAATTAAACAAAGGAAAGCAAGTTGGAGAATCAGACCCGAGGTTTAGTGGCATTAGGCAATTCTTGGCAAATGACAGCATGTGTGCCTGTGTGGTGGTAACCTTCAAGGACAGCACAATGTGGGTGACATTCAGATGTCCAAGGAGCGGCTCAGCCTTTCAGTGCCACGATGTGCCAGCCCCAGAAAATGTTCCTGGACTTCCCAGTTCTCTTAGAGTTGTTGTCTACAAATGCACTGTCTGAATTTACATTGACTTGACTAATGAATCATGATCTCCATTTGCTCCTCCATAAGCCTAAAATGTAGAGGGCATACAGCATTGGTAGCCAGAAAGTTCATTGCAGGAAAAAAAATAGTTGCAAGCTGTACATTCTTCCCATCCTGCCGAAATCTGTGGGAATGCTGAGGTTATCTGTCTAGAAGTTTAATGCTATAACACAATGTTCATTTGCTCTATCTTTAAAAAACTTCTAAGGACTAGAAAAAGCTAAATCTGCTAAGCATTGGAAAGTTCCTGGCTCTTCTTTCAAATGAACTTTAGAATCATTGCACTGAGTTCCAGAATATAACAAAGGCTGTTGTCCGTTAATTTGGGGTTGTACTGAATTTAGACATCAGCTTCGTTTCTCCAAGTTACAGTCTCACTAAGATTTTCCTGGAAAATCCATGTGCTTGTAAGTGATTCCAAGGAAGTTACTGCTTAGATTTAGCCGTGGAACCCGGCCCTGGGTGCCTTCTGGGTAGTGGCCAAACCTACTGTGCGTTCTGGTTTGTTTGATTCTGGTTTGTCTGATGGGGGAGATAACCCAGCGGAGAGGGTGTGGGAGAAAAGAGGAGGGTCAGAGGAGAAAATTCTGGAATGTTGGGTTGGATATGGTACTCCCAGACATCACTTGTGGACTTGCCCGGTGCCCTGGTGCGAGTCCAGCCCGGTCCTTGGTGTGGCGTGTTCTTAGAAAATATTTCCTAGGTCTGCATTAGTCACACCTGGACTGCGTGTCTCAGGGAGCACCTGCCTCTTCGTTGTACCTGGGGCTCTTTCCAGTAGGTCTTCTTTAATGCCTTCCAGAAAGGTTGTACAACTCTTCTGCTCTCTGGTTTTACAGGGCATGTGATAGGTTTATTCCTGGGCACTTTACTGTTGGCGTTTCACCAACAGAATGGAAGGGCCACAGGAAAGGGGCTTTGCCTTTGCTTTCTCTGCCCCTTTTCCAAGGAACGCGGTGGTGCCTGGCAAAGGAGAGGTGAACATAAACAGATACCTGCAAACAATGAGACTAGACCACCAACTTACACCATACACGGGAATAAACTCAGAACAGATAAAAGACTTAAATGTAAGTCACAAAACCATAAAAATTCCAGAAGAAAACATAGGCAGTAAAATTTCAGACATCTCTTGGAGCACTATTTCTGCCAATATGTCTCATGGGGCAATGAAAACAAGGGACAAAATAAACAAATGGAACAACATCAAACTAAAAAAAACGTCTGCACAGCAAAAGAAACCACAAGTAAAACGAAAGGGAACCCACTGTAAGGAAGAACATATTCGCCAATGATACGACTGATAAGGGGTGAATCTCCAAAATATATAAAGAACTCCTACAACTCAACACCAGAAAGACAAACAATCCAGTTTAAAAGTGGGCAAAGGACTTGAGTTAGACACTTCTCTGAAGAGGACACACATATACAGATAGATGGCCAATAGACATATGAAAAGATGCTGAAGGTCACTACTAATCATCAGAGAAATGCAAATTAAAACTACCATGAGGCAGCACCTCACACCTGTCAGAATGGCCATCATCAATAAAGGAAACAAGTGTGAAGAGGATGTGGAGAAGGGGGACCCTCGTGCCCTGTTGCTGGGAATACAGACTGGCGCAGCCACCGTGGATCCAGTGACTCCACCTCTGAGAATATACCTTAAGAATCCTGAAACACCAATTCAAAAGAACGCGTGCACCCCTATGTTCATAGCATTATTTAGTCAAGATCTGGAAACAGCCTGAGCGCCCACCAGTAAATGGGTGGATCAAAAAACTATGGTACGTTTACACAATGGACTACTACCGCGCAGCAGAAAGGAAAAAGGAAATCTTACTCTCTGTGACAGCGTGAATGGGCCTGGAGAGTATTACACCAAGCGAAGTAAGCCAGTCAGAGAAAGACAAATAACGTAAGATCTCACTTATAGGGGGAATCTGCTGAACAAAATAAACTGAGGGGCAAAATAGAAACAGAGGCTTGGAAGGGACTGCCGGCTGTTAGGAGGAGCGGTAGGCGGGGCGCTGGATGAAAGAAGGTGAAGGGATTGGCCAAAGAGCATTCGATGACCTTTTACAGGAGCTGGACTTCTTTTCCCTGGGTCTGCGTTAAACGTTTCACATTCACTATCTCATTTAAGTCTTTTATCATTCCCATTAGGTAGTCATATACCCGTGGTAAAGAGGAGAAAACTGAGGTTCGGAGAGTGTGCCCCACCATCTCCCGCCACTTCCTCGACCCTGGCACTTGGCAGTCATTGAATAAGTGATGCAGTCCTTCCTGACCCACGTAAAGGGGCTGGGGCACTGGCGTTGGACAGGAAGGTCGGTGGGGCGCTGGGGGGGGGTTGTTTTTTTGGGAGGTCTGGCACTGGAGGTGAGGGCGTGCGGGTGTGCAAGGGGCGGGGAGGATCTTCGGGCGGGGAACTTGGAAGGCCTGGCAGTGTGTTTCCGGGGGGCGGGGCCACGCGCTGGACGGGCCCTGACGTCACTCGGCGCCCAGCCCCGCCCCACCGCCGCCGCAGCTCTGGAGCCGGAGAGCCAGATCCGCCACTGCCGCTACCGCCTCCCGGGATTCGGAACGCCGCGCGCCCAGCCATGGCTTCGGGCCCCGCGGGTGAGGGGGCGCAGGGGTGGCGGGAGGGCAGCCCCGATCCCGGCCCCAGCCCGCGGCTGAACAGTCGCCTTTCCGTCTTGTCCCACAGGGCCGGAGACCCGGCAGAGGCTGCTGCGCACCGTCAAGAAGGAGGTAGGTGGGGAGGTGGGGGAGGGGGCGTCCCCCTCCCCCGCAACCTCTGGGGGTGTGGCAGTCGTGGCCTCCCACCCCCAGGAAGGAGTCTGTCAGAGGTAGGGGTGGTCACTGGTGCTAGGGGGCTGCCACCTTGGTTGTGGGGCTCACCTGGGTGGGTACTCACCTCCGGCAGGTGTGGAGGAAGCTGGGAGTTAGGGGGTGGGGGCTCTGGATGTTTTTCTGCTGCGTGCAGCATGCGGACTCTCCAGCTGTGGGGCACTCCTGCCTCTGCCTGCGTAGGACCCCTCTCCTGCAGGAGCCGGTGGGTGGGTCTCAGTGCATTGAGACAGCAGAGGGGTGGGGGGCTCATAGGGCGTGGGGGGGGAGTCTAATGGGGCTGCAGGAGGGCTAGACTTTAGGGAAGGGGAAAGATAACCCTTTGGGTAAATAAAGCCTCTCCCCACACATCCCCACACTCCCCCTTCCTGATTCTCAGCCCTTGGAGTCACCCCCAGGAGCCAGGGGACTCCGTCCCTGAGAGTCCCTGGTCAGAGGGTTACTCTGCTTGTGAGCATGTGCCTGCACTCTCCTGGCAGGCAAGGGCCCCTCACCCTCCACCCATGAAGGAGGATGAGAGTCAGACAGGGTTCTCCTGCCCCTCTCCCTCTCTCCCTGGGGCCAGCAGGGAGCCCAGTCTAGCCTACTGTTAATAGTCCATGACTTGGTGCAGAGGGGAGAATCTGGAGGGATGGGTGTCCGGCAAGCATTCAGACGCCTGGACTCTGTGTGTGTGTGTATGTGTGTACATGCCTGTGTGGGTGAGGCATGTGGCAGGGAGCATGTGAATCTGAGGTGTCTGTGCATCTGTCTGGAGATACCTCGGTGTTATCTCTGTGTATTGTGTGTACACATCTGTGCGTTTGTGTGTATCTGTATTTTTGGGTATGATGTGTGTCTGTGTGATGCAGAAGCCTGTGAATGAGTGAGGTTGTGACTGTGTGTATCTGTGTGTATGATGTGTGAATAGTGAGGTTGTGACTGCGTGTCCATGTGTGTGATGTGTGAATAGTGAGGTTGTGACTGTGTGTGTCCGTGTGTGTGATGTGTGAATTAGCAAGGCTGTGACTGTGTGTATCCGTGTGTGTGATGTGGGACTGTGTGTATATCCGTGTGTATGATGTGTAGATGAGTGAGGCTGTGACTGTGTGTGTGATGCTTTCCTCGGGTCACCCACATCTCTCAGTCTGGGATCCCATTGCTGCTGAGCCGGCATCACGGGTGTATCCTGAGTCCTCAACCTGCAGACCCGGGGGCTGGCCTGATCCCTGCGTCTGTGTGTGTTCAGGGCGTCAGCATCTGGTGTCTGCGCTGAACATCAAGAGGCCCCTCCCCGCTTGGTGGCAGACAGCTGTCAAGGGCAGCCTCCAGGCTGCAGGTGATCTGTTGCTGCCCCACCCCGCTTGTGCGTGTGTGTGTGCGCGTGCGTGCGTGCGTGTGTGTGTGTGTGGTGGTGCCTATGTGGTTTCAAGGGCTGGTTGCACAACCTGAACTTTCTGAATAAGGAAACGGACAGGATACATGGAATCCCTCCAAAAGGCCCAGAACTTTTCAGCTTTGCCTTCGTAGAGACCCCTGTGGGGACCTGAAGAAAACTGTCCTGACCCTCTTTCCAGCACAGCCCACAGACCCACACATTCTGATGACTGTTTGGGGGGAGGGTGTATATAGACATCCCCCTCCCCCTGCCAAAGCCTTCAGGTTACAGACCTGCAGTCGTTTTGTTCTTTGTGTAACCAAACCTGGATGTCATCTCTGCTCCCCAGATGTGTGCACCTGGGATGGCTGTGTTTTTAAGGGGCTAGTAGCTGGCTGGTTCCACTGGGAGGGGGCTGCAGGCAGAGGACTGTCAGCAAGGCACCTGGGCTGGGCTCCAGCTGGGGCCCTGGCCCCAGCTCCACCACCAGCTCCCCTGGTGCCCTGGCCAAGTCTCTTCCCTTCTCAAGGCTCCGTGTCCACGTCTGGAGAAGGAAGCCTTGGTGCCCGTGGCAATCCCCCCACACCTGTCTGGTTCGGGTTATTGGCCGGGCTGGGGAACACTTTGTCCCTGATGGCCAGCCGTCCAGCCTGCATCCTCTCTCCTGGGAGAGGCTGGGTTTGGGGTACAGAATGAGCTTTCTGCCCAGCTGTGGGCCAAGACCATCTGACCAAAGAGGCCTCCAGGGATCCTGCTTGGTACCTGAGGGGGGCGGGGCCGAACCTTGCAGGTTTGGACCAAGGGCCTCAAGTACCCATTGACTCTGCATCTGTGGAGGCCAGACTCAGCAGCCCCAAGATGGAGGCTGTTCCTAATGTTTGCATTTCTTAAGGCCCATCATTTTAATAGCCTGAGCATCTATTTCTTGGGGCTATTCTGGGCCCCGCCCTGTGTGCACAGGAACTTCCTAAGGCGAGTGAGGTTGCCCCTCGTTTTACAAACAAAGAAACAGGCTCAGGGAGGAAGAGGGAGTTGATCAAGAGTGCACAGCCAAGAGGGGACAGCGCTGGGGACTTACCCCCAGGGCCGTCTGGCAGAAGAGCCAGGCCCTTCCCGCTCTCTATCGCAAACACGCCCATCCTCATCTGCGCAGCGCCGTCATTGCGGCGTGTGTGGATGGTATTTCCACGGTACAGAGGAGAAAACTGGCTCAGAAAGAGAAAGTGATGTTTCAAGGGTACAGACAAGTGAAGGAGAACAAGTTCAAGTCTTCCGTCTGTGAGCTGCTCTGTTTGTCATGGGCACACCCTAAGAGCCTAGTGACAGGCTCGTTCCCTCCAAAGCAGATTTCTCTCCTTTTCCTCCTCTTTGGGGATCACCTGCCCCTGATATCAGAGAGCCAGTCTCCTGTGGAAGGCGTAAAAATCGGGGGGTCAAATCAGGTGTTCCTTCCCTTCACCGTCTGGGTTCAGAGGAGCCACATCCCTGTCCGTCCCAGCCTGCCCGGAGGGCTCCTCACATCCTTCTTTCTGGCAGCAGCGGCCGAACAATCAGTTTCTGGATTTGAGCCAGGCAGGTCTGCAGGCTTTGCCTGAGCAGCCGAAGCCACAAGGCCAGCAGGGGTTGCAGGTCTGGAAGCTCTGTCCAGTGCTGACTCAGGGAGCTCATGTGACCCAGCCCCATGCAGCAGGTCAAGAAGGAGCTTTGGGATCAGCCAGTGCTGGGTTCAGATGTCAGGGCATTTACTTCCTGGGGGCATTCGTGTGTCAGAGGCCGGGCTGGGTGCTGCGAATGCAGCAGGGCACAAGACAGGCCCTCGCTCCTGGGGCTGACATTTCTGTGTGGGAGACAGACCGGACAGACCTTCCGAGTGGAATTGAAAATGCAATTGCAGGCAGCACCCCAGGTCTAAGGGAGAGGCTCTCTGCAGCACAAGCCCACACAGTGGAGATGGGCTGCACGCAGTTCCGTATCGTGAACGTATGTCGTGTCTGAGAAGATATGGGAAGGATGAGGGGGCCTCTTAGAGGAAGGCATGAGGTGGGCAGAGACGGAGGAGAACCATTCCTGGCAGAGGGAATCGCGTCAGTGAAAACATTGGGGCTGCAGGGAGCTCTGTGAACTTGAGGAATGGGAGCATCAGGAGTGGGAGGAATTCCACAAGAAAGGACAGTGGTGCTGGGTGCACTGGGGACAGAGCCCCGGTCGTCTCATAAAAGCAAGGGGAACGGAGTGGGGAGGATGTGGGACTATGGAAAGGAGGGAGAGGAGCCGAAATTGATTGCTTGTGAATTGCACAGTCCTGGCTGAGCAACTGGCTGTACCTTCACAAGTGTCTGGGTTTCAGTGTATTCATCGTGGGGATGGAAATTACTCAGCTGTCAGGATAAACAGTGTGAAAACACCCACCGTGTTAGCCTGAGCGTCACCAGGGCAGGCGCCTGATTTTCTCCTGTCTCTCCCGTGCCACCACGGGAGAGCTGGAGACAGGGTGGCCTCAGCATGAATTCCAGTTAAATCCTACCAGCTTTATCCAGGCTCCTTCCGGACTCCCTTCACCCGCCCCTCCTTTTCCCTTCCCACCTCCACCCCTTAATTTTGTTTTGGCTCCCAAAGGGAGCAGGCACTGGCTTCCCGTTGCCATGACAACGTCCATTAAAGGAGCCAGCCACGTGACCGAGTTGATAAGGGAAGCAAAGTGACTAAGTGACTTGTTTTCCTGCCTCTAGGCTGGGCCTAGGAGGCCTCTTAATTGGAGGGGCAGGGTGGGGGCTTGCTGGCAGAGGACAGACCCCAGTAAGGAGGCAAGGGTTGAAGTGGGGGGCTGGAGAGGAAGCCTCATCAGCCCTGCAGATGAGCTGGTGGCAGGACCAGCCTGGGAGCCGTTATCACAGGCCCAGTGGGGCTCATTGGACAGCCGAGCCGCCCGTCCCTGGGTGAGAGGCAGTGGGGTCCCAGAGGTCGACGGGACACACTAAGAAGCTTGGAGGAAGGTGAAAGGAAAAACTGATGTTATTACTGGGCACCCAGTGGTTCTTAATGAAGGTTCTTAATTTTCTTAATTTTGCCTCCCAGGTAGGGTTGCCAAATAACATATAGGCCACACAATTAGATTAGAATTACAGATAATGAGTCATTTTTAGTATAAGTATATATCGATAAATCTGGCAGCTTTACCCCAGGGGACATCCGGCGACGTCTAGAGACATTTCTGGTTGTCACAACTGTGGTTCTGACTGGCATCGGGTAGGTAGAGACCAGGGCTGCTGTTCACCTTCCTGCCATGCACAGGACGCCCTGCGGCCTCGCCACAGAGGAGTGGCCAGCCCATCGTGGCACTGCTGTTGAGAGGCCTCAGCGTGGACACTGCCCTGGGTGCCCGCAAGCACCCCCTCCTCGGCTGGAGGGACAGCCCCGAGAGGGGAGTGATTGTCTCCCTCACTGGGTCATTGAGGGACCAGAGGGACAGGGCCATCCAGCAGCTCGTATCACGGTTACACAGGCGGTTCCAGGAGAAGCCGGGATTCAGTCCCCCTCTGTCAGG